ATTCCATGGGCAAGAACAACGAATTCCTAAATCTTCTATTTTCTATTCTTGCTCTCGGCTTTTACGTCAAGAATAAACGTCACAGCAAACGCAATAGGTCAGGAGATTTGATAAGTGAAACAAGAATGGAACAAGGATAATATTAGCTTTAATTTTCTTCATCCAATCTTCAAGATGAACCATGAAACTAACTTTTGCTAAGTCGAAAATATTTTACTTGCGCAAAAAGCGCCATAGATATTTTCGACTGTGGAACCATTCCGCAGCTCCAAACAGTTTTATTCTTGGTCTTTTACCTCCAATCTACTGCTGGCCTGGATATATGCTATTCATACATTAAACTGGCACAGCAATCGGCTTTTCAAATGGGGTTGCATTTGAAGCATGATAATCAATGTAATCCCATAGAGAGCGAAGTAAGATTGAGGATCTTTTGGACGATTCAAAAGATGGATATCTCTATGTCGGCAATTCTTGGATATCCCAAGATTCTTGATCTGGATACTATTGACCAAGAAATGCCGACAGAGGTATTCGAATTGAATATAACTGAGTCTGGTGTGAATGGTTACCCAGGAGCGAAATGGTCAGTATTACTGCAAGCATCTAACGCTCATATGCGGTTAATCTTGATACTTGATAAAGTAATCAAGTACATCTATCCCAACAATAGAGTGGGAAGATCCGTTAATGAAGCTTCGGATACTGGGCATATTGTTGATCACGCCATCGTGCGGGAAATCGAAGATGATCTTCAGCAATGGCGTCAAGGGTTACCAACTGGTATCTTTTCTGGCAGATGTGAAAATAATCAAGATTACTGGTAAGCATGTTGCAAAGGAAAAGATCACCGGCACCAATATCTCTAACAAACTTTACAACAGCACGCTAAAATTTCTAAGCCTCGTCTATGCTCACGTGCAGATGATGCTTTATAGACCATTCTTGTCTTATATCTCCGGGAAAGCTTTTGTCGACATAAACAAAAACAAAAAGTCACAGGCTTGCGCTTCTGCCTACTTTGGAGTCTGTCAGAATGTGATTCAAATTATGAAGGAATTGCAAGAACGTGGATTAGTCATTGGACCGAGATGGTTTATGGTAAGTCGCCCATAATTCTGGTATAATCATTTGGAGACTCTCGTATAAATCGAACCATCTGATTTGGCATATCTTATTTGTCAAGGAAAAGGTGACTGACATTCCAGTTACAGATAAATATCACATCATTTGCCACTCTGTCATTGGTTTATTTCAACTGTCAGCGGACTAATTTGTCTCGACCATCGGACCTTCATTCCGACGCTCAAGTGGGACATGAGGCGACTAGGGTCATAGCGCAAAGAAAACGGGATGCATGCAGCTTTTTATCAGCCTTTAAGGTTTGTGGCTTACCAGTATGGGGTATAGGGTGCTAACATTTTCGAGACTCTATCGAAACAAATATCGCCAAAGACCATGTCTAGAATCAGAGGTACAGAAGCATCAACTCACAGTAAGGAGATATTACCTATCTCAGCAACCTTATCGGTCGAAAGAGAGCAAATTCAGACTAGGTCTGACTCACGCTCATGTCTTCCGGAGGAGCCCCCTAATTGTGAGCCTACAAACCAAACGTTAGACTTGGATGAAGAAAATGATGCCGAAATCTCAAATCTTGCTAGCAATACTAGACAAGATTCAGTATCGATTCCGTGTGATAGGTCAGATGACGAGATTTTCGAGTTTATAAACTTTGATGGCGATGAGGGTTCGGAGGGGTTAGAGGCGCAAAATGAAAGTGTGGCGGACATTTCCTCTCCAAATATGGAATCAGATCAGGATATAACTACTAAACCCACGGATCTGGCCGTCGAAAGCATTTCGATGGACAGCTTCCTTCAGTCATGGAAATATGATAATGGGCTTCCTGATTTAGACGAAATGATTGAGACTGGGATATGTTTGGCAGAGAGCATAAATGGAGCGAGTTTTGGTCCTCGGAACCAAAAGGCTTATACAAATGGGACTAAAGTTTCGAATTAAAATTCAAGAATAAGTGGGATCGGTGTTTGATTAGGGTTTTGGGATATGAAAGCGAAAGGTATAGATTAGCGGGAGTTTAAAAGTCATTCTAAGCTATTGAAATTACCGGAGGATAAATGTTGTGGTAGTCATGTAATACCATACATGTATAGTTTTCTTTAAATATGGATGATGCTTCATGAAACGTTTACATGCCTTAATTTTGGTGATATAAGATTAGAAGAGTGGTGATATAAAGTTGCGCAAACTATTAGTTTTTTTTCAATATTATCAGAAATGTGAATGTAATCGAATCTGTGGAGAGTTGCTCGTTGAGAAAAACCCTGAAAGGTAGACCGGTGACATAATGTACATATATTGCGGCTTGTTAATCTGATTAACTTCGTGTTCATTCTGAATCAGGTCTTATACTTGGGTCAAATACTGTTGTGATCTAGGAATAGTACAGAATTGTTAATGCATATCTGCATAAACGTTATGCTTTGGTGCTTAATAAGGATGTTCATTCATTGTTCTAGTTTAACGTTCTATTTGGCTTCTATATACAGATTCATGAAGATGGTAAGCCGCTTTGGTAAGGGAAAAAGCTTTCAACAGAACAAAACTCGATGTCCTGCCACTTTGAACCGACCCGGCTTAATGCTGAGGAAGCTCCTTTCAGCCATAAATTTATAAACTCTCCCCGGGATTTGTTAACATCCCCTTCAATCAGACTAACGGTATGAAAAATTAAATAAAGGAGGCGCCTCCTCATTCGGCGTTGGTCAGCGAAGTGTTCGAAGAGTTGGCCCCTATGGTACTGTTGTCGTCGGGATGGTTGGTGCCACTGGGGCTTCGACTACCTTGAGTGGTCGTCCCGGCCCTCTTATGAGACCTTCAGTCTTTTTACTGATGACTAAAGTAAATCCCTGATCATCAGTTGGTCTGACTGTTTGTGTTGGCGCCACCGTGGGTTTTTCGTTCCATATTTCCGCCGTTCTTGATAACAGCTCCATCCGAGTCTTCTCTACACTTCCCTTGTAGACCTGGTAGGTCCGACACGCTGCTTTCTGCCACGAACGGTGCTCTTTGCCGTCGAAAAGCCACCTCACCCTGCTGGTTTTAAGATTGGGAATCCGAACTTTTGTCTTCTCCGTCATTTGGTATATCAGTGTATCGTCCTCGGCATTTTTTCCTCCTAGTATCATTATCCCCAATGGGACTCCTAAAATCCCAACAGAGCAATCCTGCTTTGGGACGCCGAACTCCTTTGGTTGCGCCATCCTCAAGGCAGCGTCTCGTTGGGAGAAAGACTGCACAAACATCTCTTTATCGTTGGTCTGTAGCCGCCTAACGTCGTGTGCCCCCTCCATATGTTGTTTGCCTTTACGAGCAGCTCTGACGGCTGCATCCTCTCTACCTCTTGAACAAATATCCATACTGGCACTTTGGTGGTTGGCGGTACGACGATTGAGGCGTAAGTAGGTTTTCCTCCCATTTTTTGCGCCAACTGTGGAGCCGTCTTACGCAGCGGCTCCTCGAGACTCTTCTTCACTGACTTTTCTAAGGCCAGCATCCTTTACGCCGGTGGGGTTGCCGTCAGCTTCAATCGTGGCATCTCAATTTGGGCTTTAAAGGCTTCTAAAGCTCATATATCTCCACCATCGGTGCCGCAGATATTTTAGTGTTTTCGATCACTGGTTTGTCTCGAAACTTACTTAAGTAATACACTACAGTCTTAAGGTTATCCATTTTAACGTCTATGGTTGCTGCCAGAGAATCTAAAGACGTAACTGAAGCTATTCCGCTGTCCGTTGGTAATTTTGGTGGTGCCGTGAAAATGTTTTAAACCGTGAAAACCACCTGCCTGGCTCCCCAACCCTCCATGTCGAAGTGCGACGAGAAAAAGCAGGGAATGAAATGAGATGGGTCTATTAAGATGATAACAGTTACAAAAACAATGAAATGACGTTAGTGGAGCGTGATGCCGCTTTTCGTGAAAAATGATGTTCTTCTATTTTATGGTATTGCTTGCGTGAAGTGGCCATTTGCCTTAACCATTAACTGTAGCGTCGTAAATTTGTAGTGGGAGATTGCTGATAATTAATGGGGCAATTAACCGTTTACAGTTAGAGCAACTTCTTTGTCGTTAATTGAGACTAGGCGATGGGTAATAAGATTGGTGTTGGGGGCTCATATGAGCATGTTATAACCAATATTGTTTAGAAGTCGTCGATAGTATTTGTGGTTGTGTTTGCTTTCGACTTCGATTCAAATGCGGTTCTTCTACGCTATCCCATATATACGGGGCATAATAAGCGATTACACCGGCATATCTGGAAGATGAAGAATTCGTCTTTGCCGGCTTTTTTTCCCGTTATTTCTGTCGACGTAGCACCTTCGTGTTGTTAAAATCACACACGTCGGCTTCATACAATATTGTGAGGTCCTTAAGATAAATATAGACCAAGCACAAAGTTTTTGGTCAGCGATGTTACAGAGTAGTACTCCACGAAGTAATATCTTGACTGCACAATAAATCTACATTGCCTTTCGTGGACTAAGTGAGCTCGAGACTGATGAGAATCGAAGATGTCTGCATGATTAGACTCAATATTGGAAACAGTCAAATTAGGCTACGCGCCCTTTTTTTTGCATCGGATTTTAATTGCGTATGTAGCTATCTAGCTACGACACAATATCGGAGAAAAAATACAGAAAACATGGCTCAATATACATGAAGAGCGCCCATGCCTCGGAGCTACGCGCCCTCAGTATTATTTGAATATGTTCTATTTTGTGCTTTGTTATTGCAGTATTTGGTCACACTAGGGATAGTATGCCTGAATTTGATTTAGTTCACCGCCTACATCCGCAAGGATAGCAGATCCGAGCGCCTGTCAGTGCCCGCTATCCAATGTAAGCCATATTGTACAACAGCGGTACATTTTCACCAAGCTTCCAAACTTACGGGGCCTATTCAAATTCAAGAATATATGGCGGGCAAGAAGTCAGGAAAAGCGCTCCTGCGCGAGGAAGGTAAGAAATATATATTTTTGTTCTGATGACGTCGCTAACTAGGCTCTATAGGACTTCAAAGAACAGATAACGGCATGAAGCAATCAAGCTGGCCAGAGATTCAGATGATAAACCAAAAAAACTACTACACGTATGTCAAGGACTTGGGATAGCGGAAAAGTGCAAAGATCTGGAAGTAATTCCTGCGCGTTGCCTTTGAAATATATCATTTACAGCACAAACTCTGATTTATGTTCACAGGGAGTACATGAAGCGTGACGACCAGATTCTCCCTCATCGACTTCAACACGAAGCCAATCGTGATCGTATGATTCGGAACGCCAAAGATAAGGATCGAGCCCTAGCAAGATCAAGTCACACCGAAGTTCCCGTCACCGTGTTAGCCGAGGGCGAAATATACGACGATGAAACCGGAATCAATGATGGTTTTGACGCATCAAAGATTATTGTTATTCACCCAGGAAGCCAAAATCTTCGAATCGGTTTAGCGAGTGATGCATTACCCAAAAGCGTGCCGATGACTTTAGCTGCAAAATGGCAATACACCGAGTCTTCAGTTGGTGAGCCGCGACCGAAGCGGCAGAAGATAGATGATATACCTGAGCAGCAATTTGGTGAAGAGTTTTCGAAGAAGTTTGCAGCGGCTTCTGCTGCGCTCAAGATCGAAATGCGCGCAAATAAGTACAAAGTTTTACCGAACTCCAAAGAAGTTATTGTCAACTACAACAGAAGAACCGAATTCGAAAAAGTCTCCGAGCACAATGATCCATTAAGAATTGAATGGACCGACATAAGTAAAGTGGGCACAAACGGCCAAGCTCCGCTTTTTGTCGGGATGAAAGCTCTCCGTATTCCAGACGATTCAAACCCTCCCTACAAATTATTCTGGCCAATTCAGCATGGCTGCTTTCACGAGCAAGACTATGTAACTCGAAAACACTTGTTCGATGACTTTGACAGTATCATCAGCTCAGCTGTTCGAAATGAGCTATGTCTCCAGAGTAGCATTGAATGGAAACAATATAGCTGCGTCTTTGTCATTCCAGATTTGTATGACAAACGATATGTCGAACAGGTACTTGACATGTGCTTAAGGAGCTTTGAATTTAAGCAGGTCTGCTTTATTCAAGAAAGTCTTGCCGCGAGTTATGGATCTGGATTTACTAGTACTTGTATTGTTGATATTGGAGCGCAAAAAACGTCAATTTGCTGTGTTGAAGATGGAATGTGCATCGAAGATTCTCGTATCAACCTCAAATATGGCGGCTTTGACGTAACGGAAACCTTCATTAAGATGATGCTACATGATTATTTTCCATATGCTGATATTAATCTCAGGCGTCGATATGACTTCCTCTTAGCCGAAGAGCTCAAAATTAATATATGCACGATGAATGCGCAAGAAGTCTCACAACAGCTATTCAACTTTCATCTACGGACTCCCAATGAATCCACTCGCAAGTACTATTTCAAAGCATATGATGAAGTTATACTAGCACCTATGGGTTTCTTTGATCCGTCATTATTTGATAACAGCGAAAAGCTCGTGGCTCGCCGGAAACTGATTGATCGTTCATACAATGCCTACGACTCTGAAATGCCAGATGATCCTACATCAGCAGCTCAGCTAGCCATTCTTGCCTGGATCAATCCCTCGATCTCAACCAACGCTAATAGTACTACTACTCAGGTCAGTGGCATAAACGGTTACGGTAGTTATGATGCTTCAACTCTATCAAAAGACAGAGCGAATATTTTGAATCCCTTATCACGCTTTGATGAAACAGGTGCAACATCACATGTTACATCTACCGCGGTCTCTCCAGCACCAGAAGGGGCTAACACCCCAATTCCAACATTTATTTTCGGTGCTACTAATACAAATGGAGAAGTATTAGCTCCTAGTGGCAACCCACTGGGTCTGGGGACTGTATCACACCAAAGTGGGACACCGGTAGCCCACTCTAGCGTGCCTACTGATCAATATACATGTACATCTAAAGATCTTGCTCTTGAGCTTGACTCAGTACTACCTATTGCACCTCTTGACATGGCCATTATAACTTCCATCACTCATGGGGCTCGGGGCGACGAAAAGAAAGCGCGTGATTATTTTGGTGGAATAATGGTTATTGGCGGTGGAGCCAAGACTCCTAATTTTGGACAATTTCTCGAGGCACGGCTACGAGCAGCAAGACCGGACTTAGGGGACAAGCTCCTTGTTGGAACTAGCCCGCGAGAAATGGATAGCCAGGTTGTAGTATGGAAGGGTGCTAGCGTATATGCGCGCATGAAGACCCATGAAAGCTGGATTGGTCAACTGGAGTACGAGAGACTGGGGAGCCGAGTATTACATCATAAAGTTCTCTGGAACTACTAAGGAAGTATAGTCGAGTAAACAGGTTCGATTTGGTTTTATTTTCTTCGGCTACAAGGTTGTTGGGATATACCCAGCATTTGTCATGAGACAATGTGTAAAGTATGTGAAGGGAAGTTCAAGGCTCTGATAAATGATGTGGTGGCTCAAAATATTGCTGCAATTACTTGGAGCACGATGGGTATAGATATTTTTAATTCGGCTAAGACCCTAATGGTAGGCCTTGTGATGGAGATAGGGAATAATTAGGTTTACAAGATGGCATTTTGCCACGTATGAACATAAATATATCCCGATGAACAAAATCAGATCTAGCTCTACACGCCGGCCCCACTTCATCTCTGACAAACTGTCACCTTTTGGTTGGCTGCATTCATTTAAAGTATTAGCACCTACTATGGGCAGCTACCCAGACCAAGCCGAAAAAGATATACAACCAGGCTCTTTTAGGCTTGGTGGAATGCTCATGATTATAACACTCACGATTAATATATTAACTAGACGTCGGCTTCTATTTTCAGGGAACTTTTTTTGTCAGAAATCTTACTCAAGTTATCTGGCGCAATGGGAGAGTCAACTTAGCTGAGGACGATTAGATAATGGGAAGAGGACTAGTAGCTTTCTCTAACAGTAGCCTAGTAGTCCACAAATACACTCACCCGTGCATATATGTGGTAGAGTGTGAGTCAGAGTCTAGAGAGGTATTTTTCATTGGCATTAATTTGAAGGGATATGACCATTAACAAATTGTTATCAATTGTGCAGTAAGTAACACTGAGCTGGCACTGCTTGACTTTACGCTAGCTCAAATTCTTGCTCTCTCTCATGTAGAGGCTGATTTATTCTAATCAGAAGTTTTTTTAAGCTTACAGTTTACCACTAGTCAGGTTCCCGTACTGTAGGATAATGACTTAACACCTATCCGCAGTATCCTCTACGAGACTTGGAGTGGGAGATTCTCTCAGATCCAAGATAGATCAAATTTCACATTACCTAAAAATTTGGTCCACAAGGCAATGATCCAAAATACTCTATCAAATCACTCTATCCCACCCAGGGAGATTGATAACCACCAAAATCTCATCAAGTTTACAAGCACTACTTAGTATATCCTTTTTTGAATGATCACACGTCCCATAGACTATTCTCTGGTCTCAGCTGGCCGCCAAATACACAGCCACGCTAATATCTATACCCATCGGAGAAAACAAAGCGTGGGGCAAAAATGTGGAAGACAGTTCTTCGGGACGGATGTGGGAGGGATCAGGAAAAGTTCATAAGATGATGCAAAAGATGAATACAGTCTCGATGGGTGTGGAATTTTGAAATTTGGCTAGGACTTTTACAAATTAAGATTTGTGCGCGAAAATACTTCGATTACGAGAGTGCGGGTTACATTATAAAGACGGTCCAGATTGGGTGGTGTGGCAGTTTATCATCTGGACTGGTCTCCCAAGTAGAGTCTACATAGCTTGGGCTGTTGTGCTGGCTCGGTTGAGTTGCTAGGAGACAGGGGAACGGAGGATGGGCTGCTGTATTTTTTTTTTGCATTAGATTTTAATTGCGTATGCAGCTATGTAGCTATGACACAATATCAAAGAAAAAGTACAGAATAGATGATTCAACGTAAAGGAAGAGCACTGATGCCTCGGATTTCATTTGCGAATACCACTGCGAAGTTATGGTGGCTTTTTCTTTACCACAAGTCAACCCTCATCCGTGAATACCCACCCAGGGGAACGTCTCAAAAACCCTGAGTTTTCCAGACATGCCTCCGTCATCCATCAACTTTTCTCCGCGCGAAATGTAATCTGAGATGTCTCCTTCCCAATTGGAGTAGGTGCCCAGGCTACTCAAACTATACTAGAGAACACCACCTTCCATCGTCTGCTTGTTTTTATAGTGTCAGCTGCACTCTCAGGCCATAATTCATGCTTCGTTGATGTAGTCGTGAGTCTATTGGAGATAGGCTATATAAGCTTTTTCTGCGCATAGTTGACTGACGTTTTCCTTGGGTTGCTAGCTTGAAATACTTACGTAAATTATGGCATTCGATTCCTGAATGTCAAGAAATGGCTTGTTTCTGTTGTCCTCATAGTGCCCTGGGTTTATGATTATAGCTCATGTTGACTCGCTAATGAGAGCCTGCAGCGGTTGCAAGGAGCTTACCTAGAATTTTTCGGATGACTTTATGGGATAAGATTAGATAAATATTTCAAAGTTGTCACTCATCAGACGTAATGGCCCGATGGGTATAAACTGATCCGACTGAGCTTACAGCATCTCCTCCAATTTACACAGAAGACTCACTCCGGTTAATTTGAAAGCTTTAAGATAATGCTAGTTCGCAACTGATTCTAGTGGGTAGTGATACTTGCTGAAGATAAGCTCTGCTTCTGTAAAGTGCGTGTAAATACCTTGATTCATCGAAGGGAATGTTAGTCAAAGTTATAATCATTGGGCTGGTAGATTAGTGAGATATGCTCTAGCAACTCACATCGCAGTTCGGCACTGCCATTTGAGTAGGATTCGGTAGATTTTGTGATGATCCTTTATCGCATATTTCGATAAAATTTACTATAAAGATATGTGTTAAGATTCGTGTAGAGTGAGTTGATCTTTTCGGAGAACTGTGGCAGCGAGAACACGCGTTGCAGCTAGAAATTGATATGCTAATAGCATGATGTGGGTTTTTATTTTTTTTAACGTCGTGCGGCATGATGTGGGTTGGGATGTGCTAAAAGCCTTCTTCCGAGAATAAACATGTGAGTGGCGGCCAACTATTTAAAATAATTCATCAAGTGAATTGATTGGTCTTCCAGCTTCAGGCTGATTCATGGTGGAGAATATAACGCCACTTTCAATCCCCTAGCACCTCGACAGCCATTCTATTCTTCGTCATCTCTATTAACCGACCTTTCTGCGCAGAAGGCAGTGGCCAGTGCTGCGTATGACTAGGGTATCAGACCGATACCCATAGTGATATTTCACAAGTGAAGATCGAAGCTCATTGCATCTTTTTGCTTTTCGCCATCCACAAAAGTGACAAATTTAAGAGACGAATTCGATGACAAACTGTCAATTCATGTACAAGAAAGTCATTCAATGAGATTTTTTGTGTACAGATGGCGCCATTTGGCTTGTCATTATACTCGTCTTTAGATTCCGATGACTACTTTCAACTTTTGTTACTTAGTGAATGATTGTAACAAGCGTAAAGCGTCGGGAGACCTAGCGTAGCCTGTAGAGGTAGTGTACGTGTATACGAAAGAAGTGAGTCACTTACGCAAGGTTTAAGACTCCCGCAGAATCTGGGGTGCGGAATACATGGTCAGCCCTTCCTACCCATGTCCGCTCCCAGGTACCCTAGTCTGATTTCGATCAATCCAGATCGAGTAATGTGGGGGAAAGTCTAACAATTTTAGCGCTCGTCGAACCTCTTCACATCTATTCATCATTCGATTTGAGATTGGACTAGGGCTATCGATTATCATCATTCCACTACATAATTGAAAAGTCATGTGTTTATCAATGAGGATTGAAGTGTATTGCTGTGACCGACAGAGAAAATTGTCTTGCCAATCACCATTGTCAACTCCAGTGCAATATCCGAATTACTTCATGTAAACAGTTGCCATCTATCCATTATGTTATCGCCTGATCTACTCATACTGTTTCACTTTAAACGGCGCAAAATTATAAAGATCGCTCATTTCCCTCTTTTTCATCAAATTCTACTAGAGGTATCGTCATACCGCGTGGTCAGTTGTCGTCGAGGATGAAAATACGAATGCGGTAAGGCTCATCAGTCATTGACATCAGGGGGGATTTTGCATCAAAGAGATCCCCTAACAACGATGCCCCACTTCTCCACTCATGATATGTCCAAGGGCTTGAGTGTTCAGACTGAAAGATAATCAGCGTCTCAGGATAATCAGACTGGTCCCAGACATGGCTCTAGATCACTGGGCAGCCAATATTTTCAAGCTCTCGAAATATTTTGCTAGAACTCAACTCTACTTCATGACTTCTCCGTCTCTCTCACCATGTCATTTGGACTTATGACAAAGGCAGTAAAGAAAAATTCTCCAATCTATCTGGAAGATATCAAGTTTTGCACGTGCTAGATGCTTCCCACCCTCATCACCAGCAGAATATCATAGCGCAAAAATGTTCTATCCCTTCTCTAAAATATCTGTGGAGATTACGACTGTCTTTTTTCAATTGATAGCCTTCAATTTTCAATCCCTATGACCACTCAAAATATACGAAGCAGTGGAGAATTTTAAAGACTTAGGTTCGCGAACTATCTCTGGCGCCAGAACAGCCGAGAGCCTTTCATCCTAGATGCAATCAGCAGTCGTGGGGATCATTTTTTTCTGGACGCCCCCTGCGTATTACTAAAGAAGTTTATAGCAGCTAAAATCTCCTCATATGACAGACTTTTCCCAAGATACTATGGCCTCCATATCTTCTCCTAGAAATGATGGTGTAAGCCCAATAGAGTCGTCTTTGGAACCTTTCAGCATAGATCCAGATAATGAATCCGCACTGATACACTCAAATACATGGTCGCAACAACCACAACAACCACAATATACACGAATACAGGATCAGTCACCAAAATCTACATCTGAGTCACCCCAAGTTCATATTCCTCTGTTAAAGAGAAGAAGAGTTACCCGTGCATGTGATGAATGTAGACGCAAAAAGATAAAATGTGATGGTAAACAGCCGTGTACTCACTGCACAGTATATAACTACGGTATGCAGCAGGGAATATACAAGAAAGGGTACCATACTAAAAAGATGTGATAGATTGTACCTATGATCAGCCCTCCAATAGACGCAGAAATCCGACTCCGCAGTATATTGAAGCCCTTGAAAACCGTGTGCGACGAGCCGAGGCCCTATTAAACTCTGTTTTTCCAGGCCTCGATATAAACGATCCAAAAATTAATACCTTAATTCACCAGAAAAATCTAGCGCACTATAGTATAGATCAACCGCAGTCACAATCTTTAATAGACATAACCAGTGAGTCAAAAACTGAGAACAAAGGTATGATATTGTGCTCTCCAGTCGACGGTACCGGGCGCCTCAATCAGGATGGGAGTGGAAACTGGGATTTTCATGGAGAATCATCTGGTATAGGTTTCCTTCACCAGATCCAGGAACGTGTGTATGGATTTTTGAGTGATGATAAAACTCCATTATTTCCAAATTCCACTCCAGATATGCTTTCATCTTGTGCTGCGCTGACATTTTCTCCTCAACCTCCGTACAAGCCACCTGGCTTACCGGACTTACCGCTTCGAGAGACAGCGGAGGCTTTATGTAAAGCCGCTTTTAGCAAGACTTACTTTTTATATTGTTTTGTACATTTGCCTACTTTTTATGAAACTTTAGACAAAATATACGAGCCTCCTCGCGATACATCTGATGATAGCAACAGCCAATTTTTTGCTCTTCTTTTTGCCATACTTGCTCTTGGTTATATAACTCAAAAATATTGTCATGATAGTTACTCTAGACAAGAAACCCAGGAAATTGGAATGGATGTGAATGAAGGGTAACATAATCACCATTTTTTCATGAAATCGTTAAGTTAATTATACAACTAACTTTTCCCAAGGCATAAATATTTTACATGTGCAAGAAGTGCCATGGATATCACCGACTGTCGAAATATTCCACAGCTTCAAGCTATTTTGTTCATGATTCTTTATCTTCAATCAACTGCCGACTTGAAAGTATGCTATTCCTACATTGGAATGGCACAGAGATCGGCAATCCGAATGGGGCTAAATCGTAATTTAACTAATGAGTGTAATAAAATCGAATGTGAAGTAAGAAGGAGGATATTCTGGGTTATTCAAAAGATGGATATCTCAATATCAGCTGTGCTTGGATATCCTAAGGTTCTTGATTATGATGACATTGATCAAGATATGCCCATAGAGGTTGACGATGAGTATATCACCAAGAATGCCGTGTTACCTGTACCAGGAGGAAAACCTTCACTATTACTCCAGGCATCAAATGCTCATACAAGATTGAGCTTAATACTAGCAAAAGTCATTAGATACATCTACCCGACGAAAAACGTTGAGAAATCTGTCTATGAAGTTCCAAGCACTGGATATGCTATTGATCACGCTCAAATTCACGATATTGAAGATGATCTCACACACTGGCTGGAAAAACTACCCACGAGCCTTCGTCCAGGCGGCGATGAAGGTATTGAGAGTATTAGGTGAGTCTACTATTCAGAGCTAGATTCTCCACATCATTGTCTAACAAATTGCATAAAAGCACACAGCAGTTTCTGCGTCTTTCCTATGCACACGTTCAAATGATGCTGTACAGGCCATTTTTGCTTTGCTTTTCCAAGAAAGACTCCGCAACGGAAACTAGAAACAAAAAATCGCTTGCTTGTGCAGCAGCCTGCGTCAAGGTCTCCCGCAATATTATTCGCATTGTTAGAGATTTGACAAAGCATAGAATAATGGTTGGGCCTTGTTGGTTTATGGTAAGTCGCAATTCATTGCTTCTTAAACCTCGCTAGATCCTTGAAATTAATATATCATATAATTTTATTAACTTAACAGTTGAGAGAAAATTACTGATTCCCTCGTTATAGATAAATACAACCTATTTTGCCATCTTGTCTTTGGTGTACTTCGTATTGGAAAATACCGATGCATCTAGTTCACCTGATATTCTCTATGATATTCTTCTTGGCCAAGAAGCGCTGGGTGTGTTGGCACAAAGTAGCCAGGCTGCTCGCAGATGTTTGGATACCCTGAAGGTTTGCGTCTTTCTAATATAGGGTATCTTTTGCTAATGCTTTGGAGGCTTTATCTGAAAAGCTGTCGACAAAACTTCACTCTATCAGTAGTTATCCAGTAACACCGGCAAACAAAAAAAGGCACGTATCTTACTCAACTGCTTTGACGGATGGAAGTGTTCAAAGTCGTATGATGTCACCTTCACACTCATGCTTTTCCTTAGAATCTTGCCCTTCTTCTGCGATGACCAATCAAACATCGCCTTTTTTTGTTCCTAGTACTACCCAAGCTTACACCCAACTACAACCACCTCGATTCGGCGAAGAAAACCTTACCACATTTTCTGTATCCGGCTTTAAATTTCCGGATATTTCTCATGAGATAAATTCACCAACTAATTCCTGTGGAATGAGGGCACACAATCTTGGCCGATCTAGGCCAAGTATGGCTCTACAACGACGTTTTACTTCACAACTTAGTAATGGTCATTCATTTCCGGAGTTTAAGCCTGTCATATTTCCTTCAACCGACCCATTTAGGTTTGAAAGCCAGCAGATTTCACTCTTTGACAATGGAAAGTGCAATTCTGATCAGGCTACAAATAATAAGCAACAAGACTTGTTTCATTGCAGCACTTCGGTCAATGAAGAATGTGCGTATGGTGAGCTTGACGGTCAAATAATGGGGCCTCTACCTCCATATCTTGTACCAGTCCAAAGCACTCCTATAGTTCCCACAGATATTAGCGTCACAAATGTGACCAATGGAAGCCTAATTCAGAATTTCAGTTACAATAATGAGATATCTAGTGCAGGGGGAATTCCTGAGCTAGATTTATTTTCAGAAGAAAGCAGAGGCACGTGGAACGAGGATTGATTAGTGAAGTTTAAGAGAAGATTCACAGCAGACTTTGTTTTACTTGTAAGTTTGATTATTAGCAGGCATGGTGTTCAGGCTACGCATGATTAAAATTTTGTGATCAATAGAGCTGAGCGGGAGTTTATATTTTAAGTCATAAAATTTTTTAATGGTAAGCTCTTAAGATCATCCAAAAATTTTGTGCAGCCAATTTTCCCCATAATGTTATTTTCTCTTCGAACAAATTTCATGTGTTTTACTTAAGCGTATTTATGTACTACTAGGAAAATTGTTATTTCAGCAAGGAGATAATTTTGAAACTTTCATGGAGTTAGGGAGAGAAGTAGCCAAGATATCTCAGATGATGCGCGGGTGAAAGTTGGATATTAAATTTAACAGTCCCAGCTACAATATTGAATCTTTTTATGATATGGGTAATATATCAAATACGGGACAATTTAATAAGAAGGCTAGTGGCTGCGTGAAATCTGTTGGAAATTCAGACTCTATGTGTCTGAACTTTCCCACGATTGGAACAACTAAGATTCTCACATATGACTCACGACATAGATGATTGATATCTCCCTTACTGAGCATGTTTGATGCTTGAGACTCGACTAGTGCATGGTATGGTCTGATACACGTGTAGGCTTTCATCCACCGACCCTGACCCCATACTCATGTTGTATACTGTCGTGCGTTTCATTGTCATTGTTAGAGTATGGAACGAGTGATGGATGGTATCTAGTCTGGATTTGGTCTATCAAGATTACATGTATATAAGCTGTCTAAGAATCACTAAGACAGATAATCTAATTAATTCAATTAATTCAAATCATCTTTTATTTCTCCACAGTTTATCACATATTCTCCCGATTCATATCATTATTATTCTATTCATAAAATCGCGCCCATATTCTTTGAGCCGCCTTACTCATCGAACCCATACCGGTTTTCCAACAAAATCATCGTATTGTTGAAATATATAACCCACTACTTAGTTCGTGAACTTATTGGTAGAGGGAAGCTTATGCAATAATGAAGGATAAAAAGATGTCAATTCGACTACTCTTCTAAACACAGGTACCAGACTCCTTTTAATCCCAATAGACAGTTCGTGCTGGATCTCCTAGCAACAGCAGTAAACAACGCTAACACAGGATGTATGCTATTTCCATTCGCCAAACACCAGTCAGTCGGGACTAATTACTTTCGAGCCTAATAGGACCGACAAAGTGTATCCCAACACAGAAACAATAGAAAACTCAACAAACAAATCCTTCATCAATAAATGCCATTAATCATCACTTGACTTACCTCTGTACTCCATAATTCCAATAAGGACTCAAAAACGATAATTGCGACCATACTCAACGGCAGCAGAGCATAGATAGCTCCATAGCATAAGTACCTTGAAATCCTGGGGAAAATATTGAAACAGGTCAGACTAATTTTAATGGGCCAAATAGATGAAGACTTATCACCAACGGGGGATGTTTAACGAGGCTGTGAATGTTTTAAACGCGCACAAAAGGTCCTCGGAGTTGTTTTGATTTTCTTGGTTTTTCGTTTCTGTTTAATCAACTGCACCTCTGATAGCGATTCACGAGGTTGGAACGAGTTAGGCTGTAGGAATATTTGCCGGAATCTTGACGGCTCCACCAGTCCTTCACCCGTTGTGGATAAAGAGCTTTAGCTTAGGACCTAATCGTAAAAAAAAAAAACAGAGGGCCTGGACCGAAATGTCCCGGATGAAGTCTCCAATTGAGGAATGGGTGATGGCACTAGAAGAGGCAATTAAGAATATCTTCGCGGAACCCCCTCGTAATGCTTCTCTAGGAGTAGGAACGAGGATGCTACCAACAATGACCTATACGTCGATCGTATCTGCTCAATAAGCCAAAATCAGAAGTTCAGATCAGAATTTATGAAGGGGATAAACTGCAGCCGGAAAAGCTGCTTTCAAGGGTGAAAGACCTCAATCAAGGTACATACGCAATTTGATAGATGCGCAGCTACTAAACTGAGGTGTTCGTACAGTCCGTATCCTAGAGAGACGCGGCACTTCATATGCGTCACTTCCTTTGCGTCAACCAAGCGAATTTCAAATTCGACGGCAAGACTTTCCAGTCGAGGTTTTTGGAGTTCTACTTCGGACAAGAATCGAAGGTGGCAGAGATGCCGACAACCATGCCATCATCGGGGAGATATAGACGGAAGTGGTTCGAAACGGCCCATTTATCAACGCCATGCTCTTCAACGTGCAGGTGTGGTTCCCACGAGCCCAGCCAACCACTGTTTCAAATGCAGACAGTGGGGACACACACAGGCGTCTTGTGGAAAGGCAGCCAGGTGCGCTGGTTCCCACAAAAATCGGGATTGTCCAAGTAAATGGATTCCTGCGCAAGCCACGGCAGGGAACAATGTTCGTGGTAAAAAGCAGCTTTTCATACTTACCAGATCTACATGGCAAGTATGGAGAAGAATTGGATGGATCTTCTGACAAGAATGGCGGATATTTAGGATGAGAGGCCTACAATGGCGCCAATGCAAACAGTCGACACGGTAGTTGGTCAGGAATTCACTTTTGCCACCAGTAAGAAGACTGAAGGACTCGGAAGAGCGCCGGAACGACCGCAAAGCGTAGTCGAAGCCCGAGTGCCACCATTGGTGCCTACTCCCCGATTACCCCGTCGACCAACGCCGGCTGAGGTGGTACCTTCACTCTTTAATTTCTCATAACAGTAATCTGATCGAAGAGAAAGTTAACCAAATTCGGGGAAAGTTTATAAAATTGCGGTTGAAAGGAAAGTCCTCAGCATGAAACTGGGTCGGTTCAGAGTGGCAGGATAGTGGGTTTTGTTTATAAAAAGCCTTTTACCTAACCAATGCCGCTAACTGTTCACATAGTTCTGTAAGTAGATATCGAATAGAAAGTTAAACGTGAACAATGAATGAATCACCTTTGTTGTTTGATTTACTTGTCATCGATGTGAGATAAGTTACACACGCAGTATTTTTATTCAATACTAATTATCCCCAGCAAGCTAGATCAGGTTAATTATGAAATGGTAAGACAGTTTGTCTGTCTGAAACTTGAGATAGGGGCTTTTTGCTTATTGGTACTGGTACTGTTACTGGCTGTTGGGACCTAGGCAAGGGACAAAATGGCGTTAGTAGCTTGGCAAGTTGAGGCGTATGATGGAAATAATTCTCAACACGGTAAACATGAAGGGACAGGAAATAAAATCAGACGATTCTTTTCACCGACAGCTAATGTCATGGCGAGACATTCTGGAACCAGAGTCTAAGCACAATGCCTGAGGATAAAATTCACAGAACAGGTTTTTCGGCTCACCCTAAACACTTGCACATATATGGTGAGACTAGATAATGCGCCAACTGGAATTGATATGGTTGAGGTCACAGTTTGAGTTATGATGGGAAATTATAACAGTCTTAGTTGAATTGCGTTAGATAGTTATTTGTACTTAAGGAAGCTGGAGCTACAACAACGTAGTTCTCCAGCTTCACAATCTTATAATATTATTACAGTATTCCTCTCGCAAACCCGCTTCCTTCTAGTCAAAGTACTTCGTCGACTTTCCACTCCTATAGTATTCACCACTTGACCTTTTCATACCCTCGGCGAACGGCGATCTCGATCTACCCTATAGCACTCCGTAACAGCTAATGCTTTGGAGTCCATCATAATCAACTTGATAGAATGAGCCTTCTTCGAGGAACAAACAGCCGACTCTATGGTTGGCAACCTTCAAATAAACATTGAAAATGATGAATGAGACAACGCATTTTCATGGTGCACATTGGTTGTCTAGCAAGGCGAGCTTCCCTACATATCCTACATGTCCTACATAGTTTTAGACTCAGACAGAACAATCAAATGAATTGATAATAAAGGCATCGTTCCAACTAACCTCAACATAGCCGTCGCCTTCAACATTTCGCTCCTTTTGATCTGATCCGCGCCGCTTGAAAACTGGATGTATGTATATTCATTGTTATTCTATTCTAGTTTGCTAAGCCAATATCTAACTAATAGCACGCGTGCGCGTCTAGCTTATGTGAGCCAACGGATCAACTATTCTCCAATGTTCCGCCGACAGTTGGATATAGTCGATAGCGACAACTTTGTCATAGAGCCGAGCTTTGTCTATTTGTTCCATATTTACTGTCCTTAAGAAAAATTATTATCCACGGACGATCTAGAACGATCCCATACTTTAATGGCTCATCTATGTCAGGCACGTCATAGTATTAGCGCGAGAACAACTACATGAGTGGTACTAGTTAAAGAAACTTAAATAATGAATGAAAGAAATAAGAAATCACAACAAATTGCTTTGCTCTACAGCTATGCCGCCAAACAGACTACCTCATTACTTGGTTGGAGGTAATACTGCAAGCCTCGTTCCTTTCCTTTCGAGTAGTTTGACGTGACTAATATATCTAGACCACAATGAGGTTATTGATTGCCCTTGAAATTCTGTTAGGTAAAGTTATGCTAATGTGAATCTCTCTCAGAGTTGATTGAATGGATTATCCTCCACTATAAGGAATCTATCTAGGTACTATATACATCTTGAGTATTCTACTAATTCCAAATATAGACTGACAATTAGATTGCCCATACGAACTGCTCAAATCTCCGTTCCATACTAGGTTCTAAAATTGGCTGTGAAATTATCAAGATAAAGAGAAGGAATGAAACAATAAAGAAGTTGTGCGTAGGAAATTGGTCATCCGTTTAGTCGCTAGTTGTAACATTTGCATGACTGAATTATTGTCCTTGATGCATCAGGCTCGTATACTTGCTTGTAAACTACTCAACCTCAACCTCAACATCGTGATATTATATTCAAACTGACGGTAATCTATTAGACAGAAGCATAGTGTGCACGACGCTTTTCAATTTATAAAACTCGCAGCCGGAATTCGGAGTCTCATGCCCGTCGAGATTTTATTCATCCTGTGCATCATCTTGTAAACTTGTCTTGATCCCTCTTACGCCCATCTCAAAGAACTGCCTCCCAGATATCTGCGCCAAGATATTTGTACTTCTGTGGGTTTTGGAGCTGTCGTGGGCGTATAATTAGTGGCCAGCTAAGGCCAGAGAAAGTCGACAAGAGGTGTGGTCATTGGGATTAGGATGTAATAGGTCGTACTTGTAAACTTGATGAGGTTTAGGTAGGAATCGATTTCGTTGGGAGTGAAAGATTGATATGGTGGAGTAATTTGAATCATTGCCTCGTGGGCCAGCTTGTTCGGTATTGCGAAGTTTGACTGAACTTGGCTCTGGGAGAGTATTTCACTCCCAGGTTCGTAGAGGACACCGCGTACAGGTGTTCAGTCTTGCCCTCCAGTATTTTGAATCATTGCCTCGTGGGACAACTTCTTTGGTATTGCTAAATTTGACTTTACTTGGCCCTGGGAGAATATTTCACTCCCAGGTTCGTAGAGGCATCGCGGACAGGTGTTGAGTTTCAACCCCGAAAGTTTCAATGTATGTGTGTGTGTGTTTTATTGTACTACTTGAGTCTATGACTATCTAGCACATTGGGCTCCTCTCTGACCCAGGCCACACCTTGTACAGTGCTCCTATCCTCTTTTGTTACTTGAAAGATCATTGATAGATTCCCCTTGATGAATAGCCATTCAGCTCAGTATTTACCCGTGGAATTCGGCCACCTTTTCCACGAAACCTTCTACCCAAAAAAAATAAAAATGGTAGCGATGGAAACTGCGTGCGCGGGAAAAAGTCTCAAAAAACCTGCAGCCCCAGCCGGGCGAGGCCTAGACACCAGGACCACATGAGGTGCGCATATTCATCTATATCTCCCTTCTTTGTAACAGTCGAGGTCGACTTGATCCAATCCGCCATCTCCGTATCGGGTGCTGGGTACGCTCCGGAAACTCATCGGATAGCTTTTCCTCCATGATCAAGGGTGGGTGACGAGTAGGGCTCCGACCCTACCATCTGATCTGATCGTGGTTAGCTTCATGATAGTGGTGATAGGGGAATGTGTTGAGAGATGAAGACGATACAGACCGCGAAAGCGATTGGGAATCCTCGTCGAAGTGAGGACTTTCTTACTCAATCTCGGCTCTGCAGACTCTACAGTGAGAGCTGGAGGTTCGTAGGGGACACCACTGACAGGTGTTAAGAATAGTCCCCCAAAGTTTCAATTTGGAAGGGACACGAATTTCTTTTTTTTATCATTAAATGAGTGTCCAGCTATCTAGCTTTAAAAAATGAACAGTGCTATTTGTACATGTTGGATGACTATTTTAACTTAAGAGACAATTTGACTCCAAATTTAATTCGCAAACAAAGCGACGAGGTTTATTGGTTTTCACTCAATAGTCAAACCTCTTCTACAATCACCCACCAAGGTAAAGTTTCAAAGCCTGTGGTTATTCAAATACATATTCATGCATACAAGCACCAGGCAAAATAGAGTTGAGGACCGCTGGATTTTGGATTTTTATCTTCTGTCTCAAGTTAGATAGATCTCCAATCTATCTAGTCTCAATTTGAGAGACCAGCCCGGATGTTACACCACCACACCATCCATATACCCTGAGTACTAGTGTATCTTGAAGAGAATCAAAATCTATTTTCCGGTTTTATTTCGACTCTCTCTATTACTAGTGCTCCGAGAAAAATAAGTGGTCAGCATAAAATGTCGAAGAATTATCGGCATATATTGTATGCGGCAAAGAAGCCTAGCCCAGGTTTCTTGTGCCTTCTTGGGTAGCGGAGAATACCGTAAACTTATCAACAATGGAATGCCTCCAAGCTAACGTTAGACTCGACCTAACTTCAGCAGACTCATGGGTGGGAGTAAAGATTCATCGAAAACAACATGGACTTGTACTGAGTAATGGTCTACCTGGGAAGAGAGCTAACGATGCAACAGTTAATATTGTAGCGACTAGCTTATTGGGGATGGGTAGCTCGGCTCCTAAGCGCGAAACCCTGGCAATGATTCTGTCTTATCAGTCACCAGCCCGAAATCAACTCAACACAAGATCTTTATGGCACCGCCTGGTCATCAAAAGCGCGTTAAAGGTGTTCAAATATACCGACCGTTTGTCTATGGCACGACATCAAAGGCATTTAGTGCGGAAAATCCCAAGCCAGCAGGAACACCAGCTGAGCACACTCACTCGTGGACAGTATTTGTAAAGGGAGTTGATGATGCAGATATAACTTACTGGTGCAAGAAAGTACAGTTTAAGTTGCATGACTCTATCCCAAACCATCTTCGAAGTTAGTATACTTCAACCCATCAAATTAACATGTATTTATCCTTCTACAGCCATCGAGGATGTACCAACTGGGGGTGCATTTGAGACTCATGCGACGGGCTGGGGTGAATTTGATATCAGTATCAAAATCTACTATGTACCGGAATCCAACGAGAAACCCCAGTCCCTATACCACCACCTCGTTCTTCATCCATACGGGGAAAGCGAGGAGGAGCGAGAAAAAATGCGCAAGCTGCCAGAGATTAGGGCATGGGTTTATGAAGAGCAACTTTTCAACGAGCCGTACGAGAATTTCTATAATCTCTTGACCACGCCGGCCGAAAAGGGCAAAAGCGCCACCAAGGGCACGAAATCAGCCAAAGGCGACCCGTCAAACGGTGCTATCAGCGAGCGCAATGCCTCGATTCCTCTCCAATCTAGACCCGATCAACCGTTTAGCCAAGAATCTGAACGGTTAGAACTCCGACGACTGGAAGATGCGCAACAAAGAGTGAGTCAGATGTCCGAAGCACTAAACAAGGAAATCAAAAGCAAAGAGGCCGAACTTGAGGCACTTCGCGCACCTATTCCCGTCAATCCTGCAAGCTAGATAAGTCCGAAAAGTTCCCCACCCTTAATCTTCTTTTAACCCATACATCAATATTATAAGGAGAGTAAACAGGTAATGTCAGGAGCTCAAACTCAGATTATTCCTTATATTGTCGCTATAAATATAAAACTCTGTATGCTAGATGCTCAACTCTGTCCATTATTTCAATCATTTGAGGGGTAAAATATTTGTTTCACCAGTACATCTTTCAGTCAATTTGATCCAAGTCCCCAAATTTCCAAGTTTAAAGAGGCTCGTAACTTTATGATCTTATTGTTAGTATAACACATTAACTACGAGGACTATTCTCTACAGTTGTTAGTGGTGCCCCCTGCGAACCTCCAGCTCTCACTGTCAGTCTCCAGAGCTGAGATTGAGTAATACCTTCATCCTTACTTCGATAAGGATACTCTGTCGCTCTCGCCTTTTATATCATCTTCATGTCTCAGCGCAACCCCGGGCACCATCATCATGAAGCTAATCACCATTAGATTAGATGTTAAGGTCGAAGCGATCTATCAGACCAGGAATAGAACCCAACAACATCTGTATTCCTGTCGAAGAGATTACCCCAAATTTTAAATATATTATCACGATGTTGAAGTTGGAAAGTTCACAAGCGAGTATATGAGTCAGATGCATCACGGGCAATAAGTCAGCCATGCAAATGTTACAACTAGCGACTAAACGGATGACCAATTTCCTACGCACAACTTCTTTATTGTTTCATTCCTTCTCCTGACCATGATAATTTCACAGCCAATTTTCGAACCTTGTATGGAACGGAGATTTGAGCAGTTCGTATGGGCAATCTAATTGTCAGTCTATATTTGGAATTAGTAGAATACTCAAGATGTATATAGTACCTAGATAGATTTCTCATGGTGGAGGACAATCAATTCAATCAACTTTGAGATTCACATTAGCATAACTTTGCCTAACAGTTCCTGACCTAATATTTTATGATTCACGTAAATTCCATTCAGCAAATATGATGGTGACATTATTGAGAGAATAATATTCCAAGCTAGTACCTGACACACTTAGTAGTTTACTCAAGGAAAGCCTAGACGTTCAGGTTCATTATCAGCTAAAGAGAAAGAGGTTTTTGTTTCTTTTACTACCTAAGTTATAGACTATCTAGCAGATTTACCTTGAACAGTGCTTGTATCGTCTTTAGTTACTGTACATCTCATTGATATATTGCCCATGATGTTTGGTCATCTAGCTCAGAATTTACCCTTCGAGTTTAGCCACCTTTTCCACAGATCCTTCTTCCCCAAAAAAAAGTAGAAAAGGTAGCAATAGAAACTACGTACCCGGGGAAAAGTCTCAAAATCCTGCTACCACAGCCCGACGAGGCCTAGACACCGGGTCCACGTAAGGTGCTCCCATCCATCTATATCTCCCTTCTTTGTAACAGTCGAGGCCGACTTGATCCAATCCACCATCACCGTGTCGGATACTGGGCACGCTCCGGAAACTATTAGACATTGTCAAGAATTTCTAGGAGAAAATGTCTCGAAGAACAAGTGTACAATTTCGGACAAGAATTTATTGATAATTGTATAGGATATCGAACTCTCTTCTCAATATGAATTAATAATATGTAAGACTAGAGCTAGACCCTCAGTGTCTATTGGCAAAATAATTGAAAATAAGCCTTATATCTAAATAAGAAAAATTGGTGGCATATTATCTGGTTTTAGCAGCCCTTCAGAGTCGTAGACTCAGTAGGGACTTGAATTTAATTCTATTCTATTCTAACAATATAGAATATTCCGGTAACTTCCCTTAACATAAACAGATAAATCTATCCTTAAATACAAATCCCCAAGGCTTCAGTGATCCCGACCTGACAGTGATATGGCAACAACCAGCTACTTAATTATCGCAAGGTAGCATTTCCTAGCTGTTATGCTTAGCTTTGTAGTATTGTAGATCTATTAGCTCGTACATAGGTAGTTATTACGGCAGCATTGCATTGTGGCGCATGAAGGAAATCCAGTCTCTGCATATCGACATTACAAGTAGTAATGTGTGTGGTATGAGAGATAGGTTGTTCATATAGGACAATTGATGTGGCTGCAAAATTGGGAGCACACCCTGGTGAGCTGCATACTGGTTATGTGATCGGTCAACGAGCCACCAAGCTAGGTGATAAGGGACGAGCTTCCCCCGATCTGTAACTTAACAATTCTCATAGTAACTTCACTTCTGCATATTGATGAAGATATCTCTCCGTAAACTATCTTAGCTGTTCCAGCGCAAGTATACATTCCCATATCATAGACCAATCATAATACTAGCCACTGCATTCCAGATGCCACTAAACTTCATGTCGCCCAGCTCAGCTTAGCCATATGTAATCAAATCAATCCAATTGATCTTGATGATTATATCTAGAAATCTAAACCTTCTTATACACTGTGGCTAGATTTCAAGCAGAAATTAATCAGTTGGCTTTTCCTCCGTTTTCAAGGGTTGATGATCAAAAGAACCCCGACCTTACCATCTGATCCGATCATGGTCAGATTCGTAATAATGGTGATAGGGTGATGTGCTTTGGGATGAAGACGATACAGACCGCGAAAGCGGTTGGAAATCATCATCGAAGTGATGACTTTGTTACTACTTCCAGCCTCTGCAGACTCTACAATGAGAGCTGGATATTCGTAGGAGACACCACGGACAGGTGTTGAAAATATTCGGCCATCTATTTATGGAAAAACAAAGATACTTTTTGGCATTGCCTGCGTACAACGACCGTGACCTCCGTCCTCTTGACAGGAAAACCTTAGCTTTTCGGGCAATTACCAACTAGAAAACACTAAGTTCTGTGTAATGACGTCGCCGACTAGAATTATGTCGTTTCAGGATTTTATCTAGGCTACAAGTTGTTCGGATTAGGTCATGTCATGTAAGGCAGCTATTATCAGATTTTACCACCATGTGTACGGTTTTGGATTTCGCTGTGGTTGTGAGCTGAGGGATGTCTAGTAATTGTTAATTCATTTTATTGTTTTCTCTGAGTCTATGACTATGTAGGACATGTAAGTTCTCTCTATCTACAGGCCATGAAAACCTATGCTATATTTAATTGTGAGTCCTATAGCTGTATCACTGTAATGAAAACAAGGGAATGAGCCCATTGGAAGGAGGTCACATAGAATGAGAAGCGATAGTGTTATATTCATAAGAATGAGATGGACTAAAACTACGAAGTACAAACTTTCTCCACGCGACTGATCTTTTTTTTTTTGCATCAGATTTTAATTGCGTATGCAGCTATCTAGCTATGACACAATATCAAAGAAAAGTACAGAAAAGATGACTCAATTTACAAGAGGAGCACTCATGCCTCGGATTTCATATGCAGGTACCACTGCGAAGTTATGGTGGCTTTTTCTTCACCACAAGTTAACCCTCATCCGTGAATACCCACCCAGGGGAACGTCTCAAAAACCCTGAGTTATCCAGACATGCCTCCATCATCTTTCAACTTTCCTCCGCGCGAAATGTAATCTGAGATGTCTCCTTCCCAAGTGGAGTAGGTGCCCAGGCTACTCAAACCATACCAGAGAACACCACCAGGAGGCGGACCACAACACCTTCCATCGTTGGCTTGTGTTTATAGTGTCAGCTGCACTCTCGCAAGCGAAGTCTTGGCGCGCACAAATCTCGATTCGTAAAACTCTTGCCAAAATTCAAAATTTCACGCCCGTCGAGAATGTATCCCTCTTTTGCATCATCTTGTAAACTTGTCCTGATCCCTCTCACGTCTATCCAAAAGAACTATCTCCCAGATTTGTGCGCCACACTTTGCTTCCTCCGTCGGGTATAAATATCGGCGTGGGCGTGTATTTGGCGGTCAACTAAGGCCAGAGAAAGTCGACTAGAGGTGTGATCATTGGGGTGAGGATGTACTATATCGTACTTGTAGACTTGATGAAGCTTAGTCGAGAATCGGACTCTTTGGGAGTGAAAGATTGACGTGGTGGAGTAATTTGAAATTTTGCCTCGTGGGCCAACCTCTTTGATATTGCGAAATTTGACTCAACTTGGCTCTGGGAGAATATTTCACTCCCAGGTTCGTAGAGGACACCACGTACAGGTGTTCAGTCTTGCCCTCCACGCGACTGATCTGCATGAGTAGCGTTATTAACGCGACTCCTAAGTTTGACCTTGACTATCTCGTCTAACTCTTAACCAACCAGACGCACCTTGTCATTTAACGAGCTATTAGTATATCCACTTCTATGACTCCTATACAGCTCCCCTGAAACAGAACCACTCCTCAAAAGTCCCCATGCGATCATACGCTTAGAGGAGCCGATTGCCCTTCATTATTTCCCCTCCAGCCAACGAAACGATGGCCATTTGCGGGTTTTTGTCAGCCGAAAAAATTCGCAAAAACCATTGGGTACGAAGCTCTCTTCATACCGACATTAAGACTAGATCCGAAGACATAGTGACCGTTCTGATGTGTTCGAAGAGGCCGGCCAGCTGAGCGCTGCAGACTTGTGGGTACCTCGGAAAATTCCTTCTCTGCCTTTCAAGCCTCTGTCCAACTCCTTCCCGAAGATCGTGCTGAAATTTTAAAAAAGTCTTAACAGAGAGTGATCGTTGTATAGTCGCTTAACCCAACTTCTTTTGTGCCGTCCAAGGCGCTAGAGAGCGCTGTTGGTTCATCGACAATAGAAGCCCTCCTGGCTAATTAGCAAAAATCTTCGTCTTAGCGCCCACAAACGTTCCAAAATTAAAAACACCTCGAAAATATCAGTCCCAGCATAGTCCTCAGAGACATATTCTCCCTCTCATTCCACATATCAGCCGCCTGTCCCTCCTCAAGATATATAACCCCATTAGAGCAACAGAACCCCATTAGAGCAACAGCCCCACATGAACCAATACCCAAACTTTGTATGTTATAACTTTATTTCCTCCTTGCGGGTATACGTGGCGTTGTAAATTTGTAGTGAGTGATGGCCAGTAATCAATGAGGCAAGTTCCTGTGTGAAATTGGGGTGACACCTTTATCCGTCAATGAGGCGGGATGATATATGGTTTGAAAGAGGTTGAGGACTCAGAAAAAAATGGTGAGTGCTACGTGTTTGAGAGGTCGTCAAATGGAGACATGCATGTGTCTGCTTTCAGCTTCGATTCGGATGCGATTCTTCTTGGCTATCCCAGATATGCAGAGCATACTAAGCGGTTAGAACGGCACCACTGGAAGGTGCATGGCATTTATTGATGAAGGATTTGTTTGTTGAGTTTTCTATTGTTTCTGTGTTGGGATACACTTTGTCGGTCCTATTAGGCTCGAAAGTAATTAGTCCCGACTGACTGGTGTTTGGCGAACGGAAATGGCATACATCCTGTGTTAGCGTTGTTTACTGCTATTGCTAGGAGATCCAGCACGAACTGTCTATTGGGATTAAAAGGAGTCTGGTACCTGTGTTTAGAAGAGTAGTCGAATTGACATCCTTTTATCCTTCATTATTGCATGAGCTTCCCTATACCAATAAGTCCACGAACTAAGTAGTGGGTTATCGTTTCAGTACATGTGTCTAAACAGCTAGATTTACCCACACTGGTGCCTACACTTGTCATGTTCAAGCTCGGTAAGCGAAGTGGTGGAAAGGAGGTAAAAAAAGGCTGAAAGTAAGATTCAAAATGTCAATTCAATGACAAATGCAGCGTGGAACGCTGCGCAGCTTTCTGGCAAAAATCATTTTCCAAGAGAGTTGTTGTAAATAGCAAAGAAAATGTCACGGGACCAATACGACAAGATGACTTGTCGAACTTGGGAGTAAGAGACATTTATGTACACTATTAGATTCATATTCCAATCGCTCACCACAGTTCTTAGACCTGACTGATCCAGATCGTGGTCTTCCTGTGATACGTCTAGTGAAAGACTATCACCGCATTTAGACACAACCCCGGTTCAGATTAAAATTTGGCCATGGAATAAAGAGCTCTGTAAGATATAAAGTTGCATCCTGTCACGGTTGGATCGTTTCTCAGCTTGTCTGAATATCCAAGCGTAGTATTAAGAATGTTTGCGATAAAACAGAGTTAGGGGAGATATTGCAAGATGAACATCACAACTACACTCATGAAGAAGATGGATCGGTGTGAAGGCTACGTGATCCTAGATGATGCGTAGCTCAGCGTGATGTCTTTCTTATCAAACGAGGTCACCTAGTGGTTTAATACTGACTCTGCTTCTCGTATGTAAATGGGGTATGGTTTATAAATCATGCGCTTGTACATAATTGATTTTAGATACTAGTGAAGATGCTTCGCACTTTATTATGTGCTAGAAGATTGAAAGATGTACAGATAGAAGATAGTTGTGTACTCTCGCCTCAATATACAGCTGACCATACCTAAATTACTCTCCCATGACCCTTGCAGGTTCACAACAATCTCGTCCCACCAATCATATCGCGGCTATTCCTGTTTGTGCAGAAGACTACAATAAAATCCTTAGTAAGCACCATAGCATGACATTAATGCAGGATTGCATAAACAATTCTGTGCTATCCTTAGATCCAAACAGTATTTGACCCAAGTATAAGACCTAATTCAGAATGAACACGAAGTTAATCAAAGTAACAAGCCGTAATAGTAGTATATTGAGTCCCCTCTCTACCTTACAGGGTTTTTCTCAACAAGCAATTCATCACAGAATCGATTCGATTTCATTCACATTTCTGATTATCTTGAAAAACAATTAATAATTTGCGCACCTTCATCGACTTTCAACTTTATCGTCGACTTTGCGTATGCATATCTGCTATCACAGACATTGGAAATAATTCATGAGATTGCTTAATGAGAGGCTAGTATTGATTCCAATATGATTTGGTAGAAGACTTGTCCCAACTATCAGAGGGCTACAACGTCTTTATCTACCTACAGGTAAACTCCATATATTCCAACCACACTAGCCAAACAGGACGTAGCATATAAAACATGATTCGTATCATCATTTTGGTGTTGATGCTTACCGTGCATATGCTACTCGAGTCGCATGTCTGACTACTATGCGACACGCTCAGGTATCAACCTATTAACCCACACCATAACCGAAAATACTTACAACCCTGATGATGACCCCATGAATAATTCTAACGATAGCCCGCAACATAGCACAATTAGTCTAGACATCGTTTACCAAGACCTAATCCGAACACACCTTTATATCACCACTCTTCTAATCTTATATCACCAAAACTAAGGCATGTAAACGTTTCATGAAGCATTATCCATAATTAAAGAAAACTATACATGTATGGTATTACATGACTACCACAACATTTATCCTCCGGTGATTTCAATAGCCTAGAATGACTTTTAAACTCCCGCTAATCTATACCTTTCGCTTTCATATCCCAAAACCCTAATCAAACACCGATCCCACTTATTCTTGAATTTTAATTGGAAACTTTAGTCCCATTTGTATAAGCCTTTTGGTTCCGAGGACCAAAACTCGCTCCATTTATGCTCTCTGCCAAACATATCCCAGTCTCAATCATTTCGTCTAAATCAGGAAGCCCATTATCATATTTCCATGACTGAAGGAAGCTGTCCATCGAAATGCTTTCGACGGCCAGATCCGTGGGTTTAGTAGTTATATCCTGATCAAATTCCATATTTGGAGAGGAAATGTCCGCCACACTTTCATTTTGCGCCTCTAACCCCTCCGAACCCTCATCGCCATCAAAGTTTATAAACTCGAAAATCTCGTCATCTGACCTATCACACGGAATCAATACTGAATCTTGTCTAGTATTGCTAGCAAGATTTGAGATTTCGGCATCATTTTCTTCATCCAAGTCTAACGTTTGGTTTGTAGGCTCACAATTAGGGGGCTCCTCCGGAAGACATGAGCGTGAGTCAGACCTAGTCTGAATTTGCTCTCTTTCGACCGATAAGGTTGCTGAGATAGGTAATATCTCCTTACTGTGAGTTGATGCTTCTGTACCTCTGATTCTAGACATGGTCTTTGGCGATATTTGTTTCGATAGAGTCTCGAAAATGTTAGCACCCTATACCCCATACTGGTAAGCCACAAACCTTAAAGGCTGATAAAAAGCTGCATGCATCCCGTTTTCTTTGCGCTATGACCCTAGTCGCCTCATGTCCCACTTGAGCGTCGGAATGAAGGTCCGATGGTCGAGACAAATTAGTCCGCTGACAGTTGAAATAAACCAATGACAGAGTGGCAAATGATGTGATATTTATCTGTAACTGGAATGTCAGTCACCTTTTCCTTGACAAATAAGATATGCCAAATCAGATGGTTCGATTTATACGAGAGTCTCCCAATGATTATACCAGAATTATGGGCGACTTACCATAAACCATCTCGGTCCAATGACTAATCCACGTTCTTGCAATTCCTTCACAATTTGAATCACATTCTGACAGACTCCAAAGTAGGCAGAAGCGCAAGCCTGTGACTTTTTGTTTTTGTTTATGTCGACAAAAGCTTTCCCGGAGATATAAGACAAGAATGGTCTATAAAGCATCATCTGCACGTGAGCATAGACGAGGCTTAGAAATTTTAGCGTGCTGTTGTAAAGTTTGTTAGAGATATTGATGCCGGTGATCTTTTTCTGTGCAACATGCTTACCAGTAATCTTGATTATTTTCACATCTGCCAGAAAAGATACCAGTTGGTAACCCTTGACGCCATTGCTGAAGATCATCTTCGATTTCCCGCACGATGGCGTGATCAACAATATGCCCAGTATCCGAAGCTTCATTAACTGATCTTCCCACTCTATTATTGGCATAGATGTACTTGATTACTTTATCAAGTATCAAGATTAACCGCATATGAGCGTTAGATGCTTGCAGTAATACTGACCATTTCGCTCCTGGGTAACCATTCACACCAGACTCAGTTATATTCAATTCGAATACCTCTGTCGGCATTTCTTGGTCAATAGTATCCAGATTGAGAATCTTGGGATATCCAAGAATTGCCGACATAGAGATATCCATCTTTTGAATCGTCCAAAAGATCCTCAATCTTACTTCGCTCTCTATGGGATTACATTGATTATCATGCTTCAAATGCAACCCCATTTGAAAAGCCGATTGCTGTGCCAGTTTAATGTATGAATAGCACTTATCCAGGCCAGCAGTAGATTGGAGGTAAAAGATCAAGAATAAAACTGTTTGGAGCTGCGGAATGGTTCCACAGTCGAAAATATCTATGGCGCTTCTTGCGCAAGAGAAATATTTTCGACTTAGCAAAAGTTAGTTTCATGGTTCATCTTGAAGATTGGATGAAGAAAATTAAAGCTAATATTATCCTTGTTCCATTCTTGTTTCACTTATCAAATCTCCTGACCTATTGCGTTTGCTGTGACGTTTATTCTTGACGTAAAAGCCGAGAGCAAGAATAGAAAATAGAAGATTTAGGAATTCGTTGTTCTTGCCCATGGAATAATCGCCTGGAAGTTTGTATAAGTCTGCTAGCATCAGGAAGAAAGCAGGCGTATCTATGAAACAATATAATGTGTTTGTCTCGTTAAATGCGGCTTGACAAACTTCTTTTGCCGTCTCAAAAGACGGTAAATCTCCCAGGCTAGATAGATTATTTCCAGACCGAGTGAATAACATTTACGAAGAGTCTGATGAGGACATATCGGGACATGAATCCGAACTTATCGTGATGTTATACACACTCAGAACGTCATTCACGTATTCCCGGATATGCTGGAGTACATCAACACCGGATAAGTCCCCACGAATCTCCCAGCAGAAGGTCTCGCTATGATTTTGGGTCCCGACCATCTCTACTTGATGATCAGGTGTCATCGAATAATTGGTATGCGGTGATACCTGACCATCGCTTTCGTAGGATAGGAAGGTCCGCAAATCATCCGAGGAATGAATATCGATCCCATATTCTGGGACCAATATGCCGTCAGTGAACCTAGAGAGATCCATATCAGGGGCCAAGACTGTTTGCTTTTCCAAAGCTTCTCGGTATTGTCTCCGTAGATTGTCACACTCTTTTCGACTCGGCCTTTTTTGTCTGTTCGAGGGCTTACAATATGTGCAATCTAATACGTTAGTTTAGTAAGATACCTTCACTTGATATTTACTGTTGCCTACCCAATTTGTTATAGACACAATTATCACAGAAACTCTTACCATCGCATTTGATTTTTCTCTTGCGACATTCATCACAGGCGCGGGAAATCCGCCGCCTTTTCGATGGTTGAGTCGAAGGTTGGGAGGTAAGTCTTGCCCTTGGAGAGCCACCGCTTTGGGTCTGTGTTGGGTTTGAATATGTCCCCCCTAGAGCAAAGTCATTTCCAAAAATGGTTGCTGAATCCATGATGTTATGAGAGATTATGGTAGTAAATTAGATTTCGAAGGGAAAAGTAATCTTTCCCGTGAGATGTCGTGAAGTGTGGTGAAGTATGGTGAGGAGTGGTGAAGTGTGGTATCAGATTGTTGTGTTGTTGTTTGGTTATGATTTTGTGAAGATATAAAGTTGTATGAAGTGGTACAGAAAGAATTCATTCACAACAACTATCAGCGCTTTTTAAGGCAAAACATTGTTTACTATCTTCTCATTTCAGATTACATATCTGCTCACATTTTCATAACACCCCACTCTACCAAATCATCTGGGCTCACGAAACCGACGAATGAGCAGTCGAGTGATTGAGCGGAATCGTCTTCGGTCGCAACAACACAGTAAACAACTGCAATATACCATCCGTGCTTTGACCCTTTGAACGCCGTGACGACGGAAAAATATGTAGCACGTGTGAATCTTGATGTTTCCCGCGCTGATTAAGCCGATTTTCGTATTCCGGACTTCCCGAAGCTTAGCTTAGACGAGAAATGAGCAAGTAATTGATCTTGGACAGGGTTAGTTGTCTGGATACGTTCCTGGCTCCGATCACCTGAAATTCTATCCTCCATATCCTTGAGACAAGTTCGTGGAGAACGTGAGATATCAATAACTCAGATTCTCATCTGGACGTGGGCTTTCCGCTAGATTGTCCCATCGGATGTGAGAGAGAGAGAAATCTTATGTATAAGCTACCCATAGATATGGCCGTATTTTGTCTGATGAAGAATAATAGTAACCCATATAATTGCACCTCCATACATTCTGATGATAGCTATGATCCAATTCGACCCCTTGACGACATATCTCGAGTCGACCAGGATGATATTCAATACAACCAACCGTATCCGTTACTACCTATACACTTTGATCCTAGCCAATTGACATATGCCTTTTGACTCGGACGGCTTGGTAAGATTAGGTGACTACGGCAGGAATAAATTGAGTAGAAGCGGTATATAGCTTTCTTAGATTCGAGGATCGAGCGTCAAAAGCCGAGAGGTCCGAAGACTTCCCTCCATTCGGATGTCAATCAAAGTAGTTCATTATCTATAGTGATACCTATAGATGAATAGGATCGATAAGAGGTCGAACAAATCTTTAGGTCCCTTAATTTCACACAGTTATTGTCTATACCTAAGTGACTTCTAGGAATATTCTCCTCGTGCACCCATACACTTCCCACGTTTTGCTATAACGTCCTTTGCGTCATACGTGTTTAGGTAAGTCACTATGTGCCAGTATTTGAAAAACGTGACCATCACGTGTAGGTTGTTAGAGGTAATTAACGTCTTTGTAAGCTGCACTATACCTCAATCGAATACGCTTAGTTCTAGAATGCTCAGGTACATGATATTTGATCCAATAACTGCAGCTGGTTCGTACAATTTAGGTAGTTCAAATAGGGAAGGACCGATGGATATTGTGAGATCGAGCCCCAATTATCGCGTCGTTAACATGGATTCTCACCCAATAACTCTTTCATGAAGTAAAGGAGCTCTCATTAAGTGATCAATTTGCCTATAAATTTGGATTGTAGTCGAGAACACATTTTTTCCGGGGTCGATAATTTTCTACAAAATGGTTTGTAGTTGTCAATTAGTCTTCTCATTTTAGCCTTTGAAGGAAGCCCCGAACAAATCAATTTACTGATTTACCCACTTCAAGTTAAACCTGAAAATAGCCATTATGATACTTTGGAATAGCTAATTCTATCCATAACTATGGTAGTTCCACGAGTGGTGAATTTCGTATTGGCTGTGGCTTTTCAGTAGAAATAAGCGTTGCTAACACCTAGTATATGATTTACCAAAAGCATCCTCCACGAAAATTGCCTTATTTCTCCCAGATCTTTTACATCAACTACCGATTTAAGTGGTTGTTATGATATCAGCGTCGCCACTCTTAAACGTGAGACTTGAGCATATTCTTCATCTCCTTCAGCCTTTGATTGGAATCACATTAAAATCTGTATCTTATTTATCGGCCATTTGTGAAAGGAAAAATATCAGAGATTTTGATCAATTGTCCAGCTTGAATGTATAAAGTAAGTTCTCAATCATGATGAAGTTACGACATACATCCTCTGAATCTGACAGAAGGAAATTCTAATAGTGAAGATATTAATTTTGGTCTATGCCTTCAATTTTATTCAATGTGTAGAGCTTTAAAGACCTTCAAAAATTATCTGAAGGTTGTTTATCCACATTTACCCCCCCCCCCCCACAGTTGCAGTCTTGTTTCTTAGCTCAGAGCTCGCAGCTCAGCATAGGTATACACCTACAAATATATGACCATAAATATGGCTGCTTTTATTGACTGAATTGAAGCAAGTCCTGACCAATGATAGAAATTTCGTTCCACTGATTGGACATAGCGGCAAATGACTGGATGAATATTCCAGCTTACCAATCTATCTCGGTCATCCTATCAGTTGAAAGTTCATTCTGGATTTGCTTTTCATTTTTCAAGCGCCATAAGCATGCATGACCAAGGGAAATCGATGCAAATCATGTAACTCTCAATTATATTTGATGCAATGTATCGTCGAGAAAATGTTTGACCAAATACTTGCAAGGCTAGAAATTCGTACCATGGCTCAATATTTGATAGATATTCATCAATTAATGATTCTATAGCCATAATAATTACGAATTAAGTGTATTAACACAATATGGTTAAATTTTTGCACTCCTCTAAGATAAAGGTAATGTAGATCTGAATTTTGGTAGATTTTTGCGTCGATTGTTGTACTGCTCATCGAATATATGTTATATCCATATCATTTATATTATCACTCAAACAATACTGTATCAAAGAGATAAGTTATTTTTTATGTCGGTCTCCAATATCCAGTCATGAATTATCTCAATTGTTCGAAATCCTCTTCGTGCGAGTATCAGCCACATCAAAAACTACCCAGCGACTCGTTGACATCTCATGCGTTTGAAGCTGAATAAAAAGCGGTTAGAACCTTGAAACATACCAAATATGGGTTATGTTTGAAAAAATTCTAAGTCTTTGAAGTACTGGCATTCATAAAGATCTTTGTGACGGAATCTTTTTGCCTAAAGTCTCAATTATTGCATGTGTCGCTGATTGATTCTAGTTGATTTTTATTACTGCAATTTTAAATCTCGTCTAGTTATGTCGTTATAGCTTGGTTGGCTTTCAGAGAATTTTACATATGTGTGCTGACAAGTATGGCTTTAAAGTTGAAATTTATCACCTAGAAAGCGAGTTAAGCATAAACTTAGTTATCCTGTACAAGGATTGATTTGATATCATCTTCCCAACTGTATTCAGCCGAGAAGTAAGCAAACTTCGTTTGTCTCGAGAATTTCACCATGATTTGAATAACTGGATATCAAAAGCATGCTGGAGGCATGTATATTCATGCATATCGCTTAGTCATTGAGTAGATCAATCAATCAATCAATCAATCAATCAATCAATCAATCAATCAATCAATCAATCAATCAATCAATCAATCAATCAATCAATCAATCAATCAATCAATCAATCAATCAATCAATCAATCAATCAATCAATCAATCAATCAATCAATCAATCAATCAATCAATCAATCAATCAATCAATCAATCAATCAATCAATCAATCAATCAATCAATCAATCAATCAATCAATCAATCAATCAATCAATCAATCAATCAATCAATCAATCAATCAATCAATCAATCAATCAATCAATCAATCAATCAATCAATCAATCAATCAATCAATCAATCAATCAATCAATCAATCAATCAATCAATCAATCAATCAATCAATCAATCAATCAATCAATCAATCAATCAATCAATCAATCAATTTTCCTGATTTAGCGCCTTGAGGCCCATGCAGGTTTTATCGGAAGATATTTACTTTCAGTAGGATGACTCAATTTGGCGTTTAGAACACTCACACTCAGATTTCATTTGCAGATACCACTCGAGGTTAATCCTTACGGCGTATAACCTCTTCTGTACATACCCACCATATTGAAAAGCGTGAAAACCCTGTGGCTATCCGAGTGTGCTTTCATCATCCCACAAGTACAATCTCACCACGAGAAAGTTTGGTATGTGGGCCTTACTGGATTCTAACCAGCTTTCTCCTGTTGCAAATGGGGTAGGTATTCAAGCGACCCAGATTCTACTTGGGAGAATGGCCCGAATGGTGTTCCACTACACCAGCCGACTCATTGAGTGCATAAACATGGCCTTATCAGAGTGACTCATCCGAAAAAATTGCCGCTACATGCAATGCAAGGCTTTAATTTCCGCGTCGAGAGATATATTTTTTGTTTACCGACAGATGCCGAGATATTTGCTTCCGAAGTTTCTCAGACCTGTCTGTGCTTGTCCTGGTTCAAGGCTATTCAGTCATCGATCAATGCGATATTTAATATTCATCAAAGTCAGCTTCACCATGATCAATCCCTGGCATTTCAGTAGTACTCCAAATTTGTAAGCTTTTCTTAAATTGTAGTTAGATGTTCAAGATAGAGGTTAGTTCTTTATCATAAATATTTGGTATGAATATCGTAGATTTATAAATTAGACCAACGGTCTTAGCCGCCAAGGAGAAAGCGTTGCATCGTTAGCCATGTGTGAAATGCTCATTCACGTAGCGAATCGTTGAATAGCTTGGGTTCCGTCTTGAGAATTCCAAGGACCTTCGTTCCTTTTCCTGTCTGTAAGGTGATAGATCTGAACATGCATGGGCGCAGGCTTAATCGTTCAATGTTGCTGGTGATTGACGATGCATTCAACTCTTACATACCGAGTGCAACATGATATGTAGGTTCGTCCCATGGCGATGCTACGAATTATATTTGATGAATCGTAACCGTCTCCCTAGTCAGGAAGACGCAAATTTCTTTCGTCTGAAATAATTTCTCTAGTGAATTTCAGTGAAGATTTATCAATCACATGTGATTCAATAGCTTTCCTAGGTAGATGTCCCAAAAGGTTTGACTTCCATTATTTGGCTTAACCTCTTCGCTGTGGTCTCCAACAAGTCAAATGTGGCTTTACTTTGCCTTGTTGGCCAGACACAGAACAACCACCACTCGGCTAGCTGTCTGGTTTGATGAAGCGGACCTCTGCCATTTGCACCGTAGCCCACCAGACAACGAATCTGCAAAGAAAAGCAATTTCTGCAGCTCAAGATTACAGACCATAAAGCATCCACTACTTCTTTGTACAAAATTTGGGAAACATAGAGACTAAATATTTGTTAATGCAAAACCACTAGCACTTCACTTTTATTGAGGACCAAATGTGGAAAGGAAGCACGGTAGAATATAGAAATATATTCAAGTGTATGTGAGCATACTAGGGAGATGAAATAGGCAAACAAATAGTGAAAATGAGAGGGCATTGAGGTGTAATAAGGAGCGTTACTTGTTTTAATTTGTCAAAATTCCTAGAATAGAATCAAATTTTCAAAGCCAGATAGTCGAGTATAATATGATTGAAAAAATCGAAAACTAAGTTCCCAATAGTTTGTCTGGATAATGTGGCACTTTTCCTTTGACTTTTATTGTTTACCCCAACAGTATATTGCCCTACACAACTCAACCAAATTTCCAAGCCCATGGGATGGCGGGAAATAGGGTTGCTGGCCGAAATATAACGGCTAAGAAGTGACAGTTAATTGCTGTCTCGGCTATAATGATATTCTCGATAGCGAAGCCGCCTACGATAATCAAATACGAAGTTTAGAACTCACATTCTCGTCTGGAACAAGAAAAATCTAAGCAGAATCTCAGGCTTCTTTTGCGTAGTACAGGAATGGATATTCGGCGTTAAGGAATAAAAAGCTAGATGTCGGCCCGAATATCCTTATGGTGGAGCATAAACTAGTACATAATATGAAAACATGCATGTCTCAGTATTAACCGCAAGGGTAGACAAAATTTTTGTATCATCATGAAAAGGAAAAAAAGACACTCTAAAGAATATATGTGTCTGTTTAGTTGAATGATCAAGAGGTCTTTTGATATATGGGTTATTGAAAGAAAAAGGATGATTGGAGGATGTGCCGGTGGCGGAGCTGGTAGAAGAGATGAACTTTATGACGCATAACGTATGAGAGCAAAAAAAGTTCTCCAAGAAGATTTTATATGGTGTGTGATGGTCTGTTCAAGGCGCTTCTCAAGATCTATGGAGGTTTATACGTGTTGAAATTGCCACGAGATGCCAATGAAGACCGTCATAGATATGGAATGGGAAAATGTCAATCCCTGAATTAGCCAGGCTTATGCTGACTCATACTTCGGCCAGCCTTCAATTATCCATATTTAGCTAGATGTCGTGTCCTTCGCTCAGATGATATCGTTATAATATGTAGCATCCAGGTAAATGGTCGGTTTAATCAACAGCTCAGCAAATTAGTTCTCTGACCCTTCAGTTCTCTTATTCTCTTCTCTAGGTGACAGTGAATAGATGCCTAACGGCTCGGGCTTCTCATCAAAACCCCCGCTCCAAAAAATACTCTTTTAGAATAGAATTAAATCGAAGCCCCTGCTAAGTCTTTGACTATGAAGGACTCACATTCTTTTAGAACAGGACAAAGAAACTCATCTCATACTACGATCAAATCATCCGAATATCTAATTCAAACTAACAAATGAACGAGTAAGTAGAGGCTAATTAGCCAGAAGTGCTTCTATCCTTGATGAATCTACGGTACTTTCAGTACCCTCGCCGTCACAAGGGGAATAAGTCTAAGCTACGACATAGCAATTACGCTCTGTGAAGACTTTTCTGGCATTTCATCACGACCTTTAGGAAATGGTTGGGAGGAGATTAGAAAGGTAGAATGTGTTAGGATTTGGAAGACCAGTATCAGAACCCAGTGGAATTCGTATTCCTGAATTAATGTTTCGTCATTCATTTAAATTCTATTCTTCTAACATGATCGTAACATTATTGTCAGAATAATATGCCAAGCTGGTACCTGACATAATTTGTGATTGCCTCAGGAAACCCTTGGCGTTTTGGGTAATTTTCAGGTAGAAAATACTTGGCGTCCGTGCAACAGTCGTGGTGGACTGGTATTGAGTCGGTTTAGGATTGCAGCTTGGGTACGGATGTTTGGATTGTGACCTGTGATGTAAGGAAGCTATTTCTAGATATTCTCATCATATGTCAGGTAGTAGATATGTGTAGATATATAAGCTGAGAGAAAGAGGAAGGAAGACAGACAGACAATTATATCTTTTTATTTTACTTCAATTGAAAGCTCCTGTGCGAGCTTTTCTTCCAGATACCTCTAGTCTCAATCATTATAGCTTCCGAACCAGCTCAAAAGGTTCGACAGGATTTAGAGTAATTGAGGCTATCAAGTAGGCCACGTTGTTGATATACACATGACCACAAATTCTGTACTTGCTTTCACGTCGGTAGTCACTTGAATAAATGCGCTCTACATCCTCAATGACTGAGGGGTCATTGATTGATTCATTTAAATTTAAGTCTCTACTGAGTTCAGACTATGAGAGACTACTTAAAGATCTACCTAATTAGCTCTTCAATTTATAGGTTAATTTTAAATTTGAATATTACAATTATATGCCAGTTGATCCTGAGGGTCATGCCCTAAACTGAGGGGTCATAGTTTCCTTAATAATTAAGAATATTTTTGTCACGCGATTCAAGTTTAGAGAAGGAGGGCAAGACTGAACACCTGTACGTGGTGTCCTCTACGAGCCCGGGAGTGAAATATTCTCCCAGAGGCAAGTTCAGTCAAGTTTTGCAATACCGAACAAGTTGGCCCACGAGGCAATGATTCATTCCAAAAAAGATCGAATCCTACCTAAGCCTCATCAAGTTTACAAGTTCGACCTAGTACATCCTCGTTTCAATGGCCACACCTCTCATCGACTTTCACTAGCTTCAGCTAGTCACCAAATACACGCCCACGCCGATATTTATACCCGACGGATGAAAAAAAGTGTGGCACACAAATCTGGGTGATAGTCCTCTGGGATGGAAGTGAGAGGGATCAGGACAAGTTGATAAGATGATGCAAAGGATGGATATTACCTCGAATGGCGTAAAATTCTGAACCTCGGCAACGAGTTTTTACAATTTGAGCTTTGTGCGTCCCAAGTCTTCAGTTGCGAGAGTGCAGGCGACACTATAAACACCGCCATGGTTGGATGGTGCGGTGGTACATCGTCTAGGCCGGTCTGCCAAGTAGAGTCTGGACAGCTTGGACACATATCCCTCTCGACACAATAGATCGCTGGTTCAAATCCAGCAAAACTCAAACACATATCTCGCGGCGCTGGAATGCATTGATGACGAAGGCATGCTTGGATAACCAGAGGTTTTCAAATTCCCTTTGGTGGGTACTTAGGGAGGAGGGTCGACTGTTTGTGTAAGCAAGCATACCTCATAGTGGTATTTACAAATCAAATCCAGAGTATGAGTGTCTCTAACGTCAAAAGAGTCTTCCAATATGTATACATAGCACCGGTCATGTGTCATAGCTCTATAGCCGCATACACTTGAAATGATCTAAAAAAAAAGTGTGGAGGAGTCTAAATACCTCTATGAGGCAAGGATTATAGAGTTTTATGTGATAGTCAACCTGATTCATCCTAGTGCAGCTTAAGTTTACGACCTCTGGAATGCAGAAAGTGTGTATCGCTTTACTTCCAGCACAAAAAAGTGGAGTATATGGACGTGAACGTTATTGATGTGGATAAAATTTTTCAATTTTATGCCATTAGATGGTGATACTTGTGCGAGAATTTTTGTGATGTTACTGGCCTTTCTTTATCTATGATTCTACAGAACATCCAACTCCTCTTTGCCCACAGGCCAAGGATAAAGAAAAAATATTATGCGGGTAACTACAGAGCCTGCCTCTGCATTGGTTCAAACTAACTCGTGCGTTAAGTCTCCCGGTGCTTCCCCGGATCAGTAATACGCATGATACAGTGATAACAAGTAGCTTACTAACTGAACCAGAATATTGCCTTAGGTATGAAATGATTCGTATACAATGCAATCGATGCAGTCCAAGCCCCGTAACACTGCAGAGATCAACCTATCTTACTCATGTATAGGAAGTCTATTGTAATTCCAACACAACGTTAGATAACCAAAACTTTTTAATATACAACACTCCTTGTGTTCTATTATTGATTCACATTTTGCTGCCCGCGCTAATTCTCTTAAAACTCTTAACCGCATCCACAACTGATCTTTCCAATGAATAATACTTGATGCCTAATATCTCATTTGTCTTCGAGTTATCGAACTTACAAGGACCTTTCTCTGGATAGTCACCACCCTTCACTTCTGGGCCAGGCAACTTGGAAACATATTCGGGGAAATGGTTTTTGATGATAGCTGCAATTTCCCTATTACTGAAAAAGCCTGCTGTAACGAAGCAACGTTTTCCAGCAGCAGAATCAAGTTCGAAAGCCTTAACATGTGCAAGTGCAACATCCCGGACATCAGCCCAAATGAAACAACCTGCCTCCGGAATTTCCGTCTTTAGCTTACCGAGTGTGAAATCGCGGATACATTGATTGGATGTGTTGAGAGATTCGAGAGAGTTGAGGTGATTAATCACCGGACCCAAGACTAATGGCGGATTAATTGTAGTAAGTGTGAAATTGGGCTTTTCCTTTTGAATAAACTCCCATGCTGCCTTTTCAGCAAAAGTTTTTGATGCTAGGTAACCCAAGACAGGATGTTGTAGGGCGAGTTCCTCGGAAATTGGGTTCCAATCTTTTTCTGAGTAGATTATTGTGGGATCAGAAATATCTTTAGAGGGATCTAAAATTGAAGCGTAGCTAGAAGTTATAACCACTCTTTTTACGGTTGGTGCACCATTTTTTATAGCACTAAGAACACCTCTAGTTCCATTGACAGCAGGGTCTATAAGATCCCGCTTCATGTCGGTTGCGTTAAAATGAAACGGAGAAGCAGTGTGGATCACTACTTTGAGTCCGTCGATTTTTACAGCTTCATCAAAAGCTCCAGGCTGTGCGATATCAGGAACAATTCGGAAATCGAGTTGAGAACGAGAAACTTTGGGGTGAGCTTCAATGATTTTGGCGGCTTTTTCCTGAGAACGAACAGTGGTGATAACACTATGTCCATGTTCAAGAAGAATGTCAAGAATATGTGCGGCAATGAAGCCTGAACCACCTGGTCGATCATAACATCAGGATAGCTCTTATGAAGGTTGTGTGTGGATTGTAGGAGATATAGCATACCTGTGAGCAACACTTTAGTCATTGTAACTTCTTGAAAGGTCTTTGATTTGGGAAATGAGTCGATAACGAGGTTGTGATGAGTTGAGGGATTCTTACTTCTAATATTTTGAAGGGGGACAGGGCATGTTTATGTCAATTTTACTGCCACCCAGCACATAAGATCAACAATTATGCCCAGTCGGGATCTGGATTAATCGTCACTGCTGATGTTATCGCTAAGGCCTTCGTACCCCGGTTGCCTCTTCCTCCCTTGTCCGTCTACTTGTTCTGCCGCCTTGAACTCTGTGTTCTGTGGATGGCGACACCTCCCTATGCTTACAATTTACTAGATTACCTCCCTTATTCACCTTTGCTCATTGACCTCTAATTTCTAAAGATTCAATCCTAAATCTTTGAAAATTACGAGTAAATTGATCGTATTTCAGCACTTAATTCCATCAATAACTGATAATCTTGGTTTTTAAAGCACGACCTACTCCCGCATTACCTTGCTGCGGATACCACAAACGCTCCCTACTGCCAACTGTGTCAGAACAATGCGCCAGTTGTGTCAATTTCAAGCTCGGAATCACTGGCAATCCGAGGGTTTTGTCTGCATTTATCGTCATACAACGAAGCTACAGTGGGGGTTCTTGATCTCCTTTTCTCCGAACGGTAAATTAAGCGAATTTGTGCTCTGCACCCCAACAAGATCAGCCCTTGTATCTGATCGCCAAAAGCCGTATGGTACCTACATATATACGACGCTTAGAGGACTAAGCTCCGATCTTACCCATTCCAAGTACCAGGCTGGTCAATGATAACGTCACAGTCTGCGCCTTATCGCATCGCATTTTAGTGGGCCGGGTCTATGCATCCTGCAATGGAAATGACACTTATAACATCTGCCACATCTGGCATAAGACTTTGTCTTACAATATTCCTTGGCCATGAGAGGTAGACAGTTAAAAATCCAAGAAAGTATCGAAATTAACTCGTATCTATTAGTTGAGGCAATTTAATCCCTAATCATATCCGAATAGAACACAAAATATCTAACCATTAGATACCTTTATTGTGCGGATCTCCAATATCAGCGGGATTAAATCTCGGACCAAAGCACTGTCTCAACTGCCAAAGACCGCTCTACCGGTAAGCCTTGAATATTCAAGAAAGACGCCGCTACTACGAGATAGGTCGACAGGCTTATCTTGTCTGCCATAATCCTTGTACGATGATGTTTGCCAATCTATGTGGAATAGGATCCGTAGGTAATTCGCCCTTATGCCGTCCTAGTTGACTGATGGTAGGATTTAACCACATATCTATGATTATATGAATGCGGGTATTTGAACATAGAGTCTATGAATGCCTTAAGAGTTCTATTGCTGAGAAGCTTTCGATGTTCTAAATAACCGCCAGACGTAGAGCTAAGAGGTCAATTATCAGGAAAATTATGTGTAAAACAGGCTTTAATCAAATGGAATAAAAAGACCACGCAAGCTAAGTCATTATCAGATTAAGCTACCCTGGACGATATATTTAGCTACAGAGTCATCCTATGATATAGATGGTTTCAAAGATGGTCAAGATCTCTTAAACTGACTAGAATCTTTAGTTTGAGGGTCGTGAGAAAATGAATAAATTTCATGAGTTATGCTTGCGAGTGAAATCAACCCTAAATGTGATCGCACTTGGGTTGTAGTAGTAAACTATTCTAAGGTTTTCCGAATTCAATCATGACTGAAATACTGGCTTTCGATCAATCTGATGTCCGCTAGGATCATATATAGCCTTTAGTTACTATAAAACAATCCGTAGATTTTAATATAAGACTTCAGGCATAGAAATTGTGGCTGAAGTTATGAGAAAGACTAAGCAAGGTTGTAAAGTAGATGGATGAAGGAAAGGTGCTAAGGAATAGAGACATGTTGAGATGTCGGATAATAGCGGTTTTGATTAGAGTAATTTTAAATATTGGGCTTAAGTACCGCTGTGAAGCTTTTCACGGACGCATGCTCTTATAAGATTCACCACCACCAATCTTACCAGCTTCAAACTGCCTGGAAAGTTGGCAAATTAGACTTCTTCACCTTCCAGAAGTGTCAGGGTAAATGTTTAGTAGGTTCCATTATTTGGGACAGTCCAAAGTCGCAGTTCTTTCGTTCAGGATGTCCACTCATCCAGGCGTGTACCTGTAGGATTCGTGTCATCGCCCCCATCATCAGCGCCTCTTTCACAAACTCCCACAAGTCTTTAAGAGAGATATAGCGGAGGGCTTGAAAAATCAAAAATATCCAAGTTGTGCAACATCGCTTGTAGTATACTGTTGGTATAAGTGATCAAGTGCTGGTTGAGCCTTCTCGTGTTTCCGAATCAATTAATGTTAGTACATAACAGAGCAAGTCCAGTATAAATTCAGTTGATTATTGAAACCTAGTGAGAGAAGGTTTCCTAAATCTTGCTGTATACATAGAGAGCTATAATTACGGATGCCGATCATAACAATCTGTATTTCAAAGCAACTGTATCTAGGCTGCACCATTAGTAGACCCTTTAGCTAGCTAGGCCCTATGTTCCATCTCTACCGTACTGGCATAGACAGCACAAAAGTAAGGGATTAATATAGTAACATCAAGATACGGTGGTTTAAGCTCCAGTATGGCTTATTTTAGATATAACCGCAGCTTATTGTCGAAAATGAGCACGGGAGGAATGGCCGAAGTTTCCTGATGAGGTTTTACCCTCGACTTGTGACCTTAGAGTCATGGTGAAGACGATACTATACATCCAGTTCAATGTAACTATCTGGCTCAGATGCAGTTATTAGGAAAAGCTGGACTCCGACTGGGCACTGTTGTAGCCTGTAGGACAATATATTCCAGATATTTTTAATACGCCCATTGTTCCTGCTGGATGGTTGCCTGGTCGACATCAGGCCATGATTGTAACACACACACCCTCTGTAAAGTTACATGCCAGATATAAGGAAATTTTTAATGCCCGCATTACAAAAATTCCGCCAGACAAATTTACCAGGCTAATCAGCATATTGGACTCAGAGTATGGGGAATTCTACCCCTTTCAGTAGGAGAATTGCACAATAGGGTGAATGTCAATATAGACATGTGCAGCTGCATGGCGTTTGCACAACTGTGCGTAGCACGCATAGGAGTTAATTATTGCCAAGAACGACTAGCAAGGTTACGCGGCTCCAAACTTCTTTATGCATCATATAACAACCCGTTCTTAATTTAGCTATTGCCCATGCATGACAGTTAGCACTGACCACACTCACGAGCTGGCTGGCTGATAATAGTGAGCTCGAGCTAGACTTGTCCACTCACGGTCTGCTTTGCAAACCATGAAGGACTTCCCAAACAACTTTTCCAAGCTTGAGGTCACACGCGCACAATATCGCAATAATTCCAGCTTCCTGGTGGCAAGCTTTGGTACATGGAATTACATTAAATCTTCATCATCTTGGAACATCAATAACGAAAACGATCCACCTACGTCAAGATAAGGCCCTAGGATTGGCTGACTCCGGGAACTTCAGATTAAAAGAAACTTGGTCGCTTAGTTTCGAGGAAATAAGGAATGTGCACAAGGCCGAATATACAGCGGAGTCTCCGGATGGGCTGGCTTGGCTCGATTCAGAATGTTCGTAAAGTCGTTTTTGATACCGTTTTGGACCTAATCCCTGCAGAAAGTAGACATAAAATGATATACAGGAATTTAAAAGTACCGATATTAATCGGGCACTAAGATTTCAAACTTGTCTGTGATTTCTTCAACAAATTTGGGAGTGAAATATCTTCTCAGCGCCAAGCTTAATCGAAGATTGTAATACCGAACAAGTTGGCCTACACGGCAATGATTCGAGACCTTCCACTAAATCAATCTCTCTCTCCCTACGAGGTCGATCTCCCCCAAACACTCACCAAGTCTGCAAGCATGACCTAGTACATCCTTATTTGAATGAACATGCCTCTCGTGGAATTAATCTCTAGCCTCAAATTTCTTCCTAATAAGCGCCCACCACGATATCTAAACCCACCGAAGGAAACTAATCGCTGTGCATAAACCTGGTAGGCATTTTTCTGGGATGGACGTGAAAAGGATCAAAACAAGCAGACTAGATAATGCAAAATTTGGATACAATCTTGAAAGGGTTAAATATTTGAATCTGGCAAGGAGTTTTACGATTTGAGCTTTGTGCGTGCCAAGACTTCGCTTGCAAGAGTGCAGCTGACACTATAAAAATATGCCGACGATGGAAGGTGCCGTGGTCCGCCTCCTGGTGGTGTTCTCTGGTATAGTTTGAGGAGCCTGGGCACCTACTCCACTTGGGAAGGAGACATCTCAGATCACATATCGCTCGGAGAAAAGTCAGTGGATCATGGAGGCATGTCTGGATAGCTCAGGGTTTTTGAGACGAACCCCTTGGTGGGTATTCACGGATGAGGGTTGACTTTGGGTGAAGAAAAAGCCACCGAAACTTCGCAATGGTACTCGCAAATGAAATCTGAGGCATTAGTGCTCCTCTTTAAAACTGAGTCATCTATCATGTACTTCTCTGAAACTGTGTCACAGCTAGATAGTTGCATACGCAATTAAAATCTGATGCAAAAAAAATATAAAAATAATCGTTATCTGATCAGATATCGAGGCACAGCTTATCCAACATTGATCGATGGTTGTTGGCAATACAACCTTTGACGTGGAAGATAGATGAGACAGTGATACTACAAGTCATCAACTCTGACCCCTGTACTACCATTGTGCTACGACATCGAAGTTTAAAATAATGTTTACTCAATATCAACCCGTGGTGTGAGTCTATGACTATGAAGAACAAATTCCATGAGCTTCAATCTACATCAAGTTGTTGGACATTTCAAAACCCGATTATCGACACCTAACACATCGCATCACCCATTACCCTTAATTACAAGAATCTTCAATCGGTGCAATGGCCCCAGCTGTTGCATCTTCATCGACAACGCCCTCCAATCCAGGAGGGCAACTTCACCCATGCCT